ATTGGTGCACTATAGTAGGTCATAGGTACCTCTTTCCAAATCCTAACCTTTTCAACATTCATGATCATCTCATCTCATTCAGTGCTATACAAATTCATAAATGCAATAAATCTTTCACATTCCTATCTCATTGAATGCTGTGTAATCTAAAAATCAATATATATTATTTATTTATATATTTTAGTTTCCTTCTTTCCTATCCTTGCAGTAGAATGGAGATTTAACAGTTTTAACCTCTAGTAGATATGATCATAGAAACATATTTCATTCCTTGTTTCAGGGTCTTCTGAAAGCATTCTTGCAGAATCTGTCCTCGAGCTCTGCAGTGGTCCGACGGACTGCTGCAGCTAGTATTTTAACCATATGCCTAAATTGTAGAAAGCCACATGTCTTCTTTTCTTACATCCTCAACACTTTACTGGGTACGTTGAAAATTATATTATCATTGACTTGAGATAGCATTTCTCAGTTTGCTGTACTTCTATGTTTATGTAACTAAGAATGGAAAGTATTTTGGATATGTATTACATGACCCCTGGAATCACATAAGACATATGTATAATGATTGTGCTTTTGATACTTTCATGGAACCTGTACATATGAAAAATAAATAATGGTAATAATGATGGCCATTATAAATAATGCCCCTTTCTCTCAGACTGTGTTGTTCCAATACGAGAAGGACAGTCAGTGTCTACAGTATTGGGAGTTCTTGGGTGTTTGCGTAACATTTTTCCCCACATGTCTGTTGGAGAAGGAGGGGAGGAAGAGATGAGAGGCAGCTTTGGAGTTCGTAGATGTCATCAGGAAGCACCATTGGCAGTTGATCGGATGATTCAGGTAGTATGGCTATTTTATAGTGTATATTGTCTGTCTGTATGAGTTCATTCAGTTGCAGTGTACAGTATTACATGATTAACATAGGAGCTTCAGGTTTGACCATTGCATTAACTTGATTGTGACATGTACCCTTGACTTTGTTGATAATGAAGAATTAATATTAATATTACATTTGTCATATTATGCCAAAATAACTGTTCTTTTTCCAGGAGTATTTATATAGAGTGAATGTTAGAAAGTCTGTACTTTTTTATTAATTAATATTTTTGATTGTAAATTTATATTAACAGTATGCAAATATGATATGATGTAAAATGATTTGTTATGTTCCAGGTCATTTATTTTCAGTTTGGAAGTATGAAAATAATGAGATTTATACATGTTACATATCATTTACTGATCTTCAGATTTAATCTTAGGGAACTGTTTAATCTTTTTTTTTGTAATAAAAGCAACAGACAAACATATATACTTACAACAGTGTACTTGAAACACTGTACTTGTAAAATTCTTCACAACTAATTTACTTTGATTTTGCAGTGTCACACTTTTACATAACCCAAATGTAGTTTTGAAATGATGGAAAAAATAAAACACTTAACCAGCAAGAGAGAAGGAGAGTGGTTTTCATTTCAGATAGTGAACAAATGCAAGAGTCATTGAGGGCGATTCTTTGAGCTAGTCATATTAGCTAAATACGCTGAAATGTCCTGATTCCTCATGTTTATTTTTACATACTTTCTGCATGCAGTTTATACTGTTTGTTGTATGTGGGTAGATATATGAACTGTGTCTTCACTACACAAACCATGGTGATCATAATGTGGTGAATGCTGCCTTGGAAACGTTGCATCAACTACTACAGTCACCACCACCTGATCTTTTACCAGTCTTGCTTTCCTCCCAAGGAGTGACTCGGAGCCGCGTTCAAGCTACGGAGGGGCAGGAGAAACTTACCCATCGGTCACTCAGTAAGTGTGATATTATTCTTTTTCTTAAGTTTCTACAGCTGGAGTTCAGTATACAACTTTGGCTTCTGGGGATGAGCCACATTGAATGTTGAAAATTACCAAACATGGCAACTGCGATATTTGCTGAGACATTGGATAATTTTCAACTTTTAATCAAGTTTATTTCCAAATGCCAAAGTGTACAGTGTCAAATAATGTTTTGGTTACTTTTTGATTGTCTAGCAGTCTTTACATGATTTTTCAGTATAATGTTTAGCATGCCTACTACTTTATGTTTAGGAGGTTCTGGGTTGGCCCCAGCAACCAACTGTTATGATGGAGATTTTTCATGGTTTTTCTCAGTAGCACTGAAATTCTGGGGTAATACCTCAAACTAGCCTGTGACTACCTTCATAATTCACAGTCACTCTGCCATTTAATACTATGTTATTAAAATTGCATAATTAGTTGAATACAGTGAAACCTCGATGCATCGTTTTCGGCGGGGGTGGGAAATAAAAACGATGAATGCGGGAAAACGATAGATGCGGGAAAGCATTAAAAATTTAAAAAAAAACAATGTTTCTCTTTCAAAGTTACTTCTTTTTACCAGAATATGTTGAAAAATAGCTGGACACTTGCTGTATCTGTTGCAATAAATATTTCCATGAAATTGTGTTTTGTTTCTGTAAACGGCCCCAGGGAAACTTACTTTAAGGACGAGCCTCATACTATTACTGCCGAACTCAACGAAACGTAGCTGTAGAAGACCCTGAACTGCTGGAAACGAGATGAACTAGAAGAATGAAAAGTGCCGCCAGCCTTTCCTTTGTACTTGTAATAAAAGCATTTGTGAAGAAATTCACACTGCACATGCCATCTGGCATCGCTGGAACGAAATATGAGTGTACCCTAATTAAAATCGTAAAATTTCTGACAATGAGCACCGTCATTCACTCCAACTATCACCCCTGCACCGCTGACCCTCATTCCAAAAGAATGTGCTGGTTGGGCGACATAACAGGTTACCGCTACTGTTTATTCCAAAAACATTGTGCGTCTTTCGGTATTAATTTATCTCTAAACCCAGCATTTTAAATTCTCAGGAACGATCATTGCGGGAAAATTGTGGGCCGGGACTACGATTTTTGAACGATCGATGCGATAAAACGATAGTTCGAGGAACGATAGAAGCGGGAAAATGTAACATTATTTTATATGGGATGTATTCGGGACCGAACAAAACGGACGATGCATCCGGGAAAACGATAGTTCCGGGAACGATGGATAGAGGTTTCACTGTAATTAATTAGTCAAGCAGTTGATAATTATCTTTATTTTTACATTATGTCTTTGACTGTGCCTATTTTGCCCAACCCTTATTGATTTTTATTTCACAGCTAGGTAATACTTTTATCAAAAATGTGAAGCGTTCATCAATTGATGTAAATATAGATTTATTATATTTAGATAAACAAGTTATTTCACCTTCCTTAGGAGACACAGAATGAGCTGATGAAAAAGTTTTAGGAAAATAGTCACATTAAAATAAAGTTCCTCAAGCTACTACCAAAATGTGGTTAAGTTTATTTTTAAGTTCTTTTTAATTTTTAATTTTAAGTAATTTTTAAGTTTTGGATTAATTTGCTTAGTATTTGATCACTTATGAATAAAGAGTGAAGTTGAATGTACTTGAAACTCATTAAACATCCAACATTGAATGATACTTCAAAGAAATTGTGTTAGAAGCAATAGTTTGTATAAATATCTTATAGATATAAGGTAGTGATAACTAAGAGAATGCACATTTTATTTTATTGCCACATGAATGTTTATTGTTTTTAAGCTTCCCAGTTTCATGTAACATTGTGATATGTTTAATGAATTCTTCTTGGGCTGCAGCTGTATCAGGTGGTTGAATGGAGGAAGCATCATCTTACCCTGAGGATGATGATAATGATGATGATGATGGTTCTCGAAACATTTGTCTTTTCTCCATTCAACCACTTGACACAACTGGTAGCCCTAGAAGAATTCATTATACTTCGTTGCCATGAAAGTTTGAGATCATACATAGTGGTGTTTCTTTTTACAGGTCAGATGAGTGTAGCACAGTCTTTTGCATTAGGTGATGAAAATTCTTTACTTGATCCTGATCCAGAACTGCCTGACCTGAAATTACCATCTATAGAAAAATGGGTTGGTGAGACAAAGGCAGTTTTGAATGCTGATAAATTAGCAGCAGCAAGATTAGTGGAGAAGCCAGTGTTTGGAAAGTCAGGAATAAATAATTCAAATTTTTACGGTGATGAGACTCAAAGTACAGCTTTGGATGCTACTGAAGACGATGATGATGATAATTGTGATGGTGATGGCAGTAGTATTGTGGAGGATAACCAGACTGAATATTCCAGTATTCAGATTGGAACAATTCAAGGTAAGAATGTTAAGAAAATAGGGAAAGTTGTCATGAACAAGGCTTGGAAAATCCAGTTCTCTATTTTGTTGTGTTGCCTTCTTGTAAAATTAATGATCATAGTAATTCTTGATGTTACCATTGTTTAATTCTGTCAGATATACATGTAAGAAAGAGTAATTTTATTTTTGTTGAGTAAATGCTGCTTTTATTTTGTCATTGTTTCAGACCAGGAAGATATAGATTCTCAGAGCCCTACAAGAAGTACAACTCCAAAACATCATCCAATGGCAATCAGAACACCTCAGCTTTCATCTCAGAGTGATGATATCAAAGATGAAGAAGGAGGTCTCATGTTGTCACCATCTCCAGTGGCTTCCCAGGGAAGTTCTGTGCCATTTCAGGAGTGTGTTGTTGGATCATTCACAGATGCTGCTGTTCCACTTGTGTATTGTTCTCGACATTTGGCTGCCTCTTTCCTACTGACAGGATGTGCTGGCTTCATAATGCCTGACAGTTCTGTTAGGGTTAGTGTGAAGGCTCTTGCTCTCAGCTGCATAGCCAGCATTGTCCGCCTCTCTCCTAGTATCATATTTCTCAGCATTGACAAGAATAAGGAGCCCAGTGGAACACAAGATGGTAATAAAATACATATTTAAATCCTATAGTAGTTGATGAATATTAAGACATTCAGGGCTGGTTGTTACCTTGGTTTCCCATCTCATCTGTTGCTCCCGTCCACTTTTTAACAGAAAACAGTATTTTGTTATTTATAACACATTAATATATATAACTGAATGATGTGAAGACTGGATTCTGTAGATAGTTAATATTAGTTGTTTAGTGTTATTTACATTTGCATTGCTTGTATTACTGTTACTTTGATATAATCTGTCTTTTCCTTGACACTGCATTTGCCACATGACATGCAAACAAATAGGCATATTCCTGGACTCTAATAAATATGTGTACCTTTCAGTCAAATTTTGTATTTTTTCTTGTATCTGTGTACAGCTCTCATACTTCCATTTAGTTTTCTAACACCATTTTTTGTTTTGGGGTGGGTGGGGGAGAAAGGCATGGGTATGCATATCAAATACATAAAAAGAACCAACAGCTTGGTGTGAACTTACATAGACTTGGGTTAGTTACTGAAAAGCTTGCAGAGATTTACCATGGGAAATTGAAAAAAAATTGTGATAATGTACTATTGTGAGCTTGATTACTGTATTGTTGTTAGTGCTTGGCTGTTATTGGCCTTTTTGGCTGTTGTCAAGCACTTTAATAAATGAATTGAATTGAATTGAATTACAAGTAACTTAAACTATTAATAGAAAATTCACAAATTTGGGTTGATGATTATATTGTGACAGTTAACTACAGATTTTTTTATTATAATTATTTGCATCTGGATTAGAATGACTGAAGGTAAAGCTGTTGCATTTGCAAGACAGCTTTAATTCATTTCCTTCTTTATTTTTAATGCCTGTGTTTGTGCCATCAAGACAGGAAGTATTATTTGTTGATGGCAATAATTTAAAAAGTGTATAGAACATAATATGTTTTGGGATGTAATGCAGTGGTAGAGACTTGGTAAAGGTACAGTAATGTAATTCTTATCTGTGTGTTGAGATTTCCAAGGGCTGCTGTAATTTCAATATTGAATCTCATCTTCTTTGATGCAGAAGTGATATTGTTAAATCTTAACCTGTTTGTGTATATATTTTCATCACTGCAACATTCATATTGTATTTACTGTCTGAGTGCTTTCATTATTCTGTTTCATTTCAGTATGTGACTCAAATAGTGTTCAGATTTTGAGTGATGTGTTGTTGTTTGCGAGTCATCCAGACCCACAACTTCGTGGTATCACTAGCACTGTGATTGGCTGCTTACTTCATTCAGCATTAGTACGGTCTGGTGGCAACTTTCACAAATGGGTTGATACTGAGTGCAAGTGGAGTTTTAGAACTAATGAAATTTCAGTCCCAGAATTAATGAAACTGTTGCTTAAAGTAAGTAGAACACTTTGAGCATTTACATTTTTGCTTGATGAAGGTTTAGTACAAGAATATAAAGGATGAATTGAACATCACTCCATGAAGGTGTTTTGAGGGTGCAGACATATATCTCCATATGTTCTTAATATTAGCAGTAGGTGGTATATGGTCAGACTCATTATGGCTGCTTTACCCCTTGTGAAAGCATTCTTAAAAATGTTTCATGCTTACATTACAGACTAAAACATAAAGTTCTGGTTGTAATTTTTCTTATTGTTTTAGGGTTTGGAAGATGAATCATCTGTGTGCTGCCGTCAGACTCTGTTAGCTTTGAATCTCTGCCTGCCAGAACTTCTGGAGAGCATAGAGAGTCAGTCTGCTGCAGCCATTCTGAAGGCTTTGCCTCTTTTAGTGAATAATTCGTACTGGTTGATCAAGGTGAGCTGTAACAACCAGACATTTTTTTCATACTCTTGAATCAGGATAACTATTGATTTAAAAAAACTGTTTAAATTGTTTGTATCATTATTATTCACATTCTTACTTATTATTCCAGGTTTGTTGATGAAATGGTCATAAGACATGTTTGATGATTTTGTAGTAGTGGAAGAGAGAATCAAAGCCACAATTTTTGTAATTTGTTTTGGCCAGTGGATTAATCTTTTTGCAGTTTATTGTGTTTTATTCTCTTTGTACAGGTGAAATTGGTGGAAGTGGTGAGTCAGTTGTCATATGTTACCATCTACCACCTGACAGGCAACTCTGACTTCCAAGAGAAGGTGATTAGTTCTATAGTGTTTGTGTTCCTTAAGGATGAAGATGTGAGAGTGAGACATGCTGCAGCTAAAGCAATTTTAAGGTAACTATCTGTTGACTCAGTGTTGTGGTGGGCTGATTTGCCAAAATTTTGATGAATCTGGCTGTCTCCATCTTTAAGTCCTTGGAGATAGCTAGGTCTCTGAAACACTGGTAAACAGGTATCATTAACCATTAGAATAGAAATAATATTAGCTAAAAAATGCGATGGAAATTTGAAGAATTCTGTTGTAACTGAAAATGTTATATTAAATTGTTAAATTTAAAAATAACATGCTGAAAGCCACAAGCCTGAGGATACATCCCCTAGTACCTTCTGGGTTTGAGACTAGACTGGAGGCAGTACTAGATGTGGTGGTGAAGAAACAAATTCCTGTCTTTCTCAGGAATTTAACCCATGTTGTCTAGTCCATAGCCATTTAATGCACAGACTGAATTGTAGCAGATTAAACACAGGATAATTTACACAGATTATGCCAGTACTTCTGTAAGGAATTTGACAGTTCATCTTTTATTCTGTTTGTTGTGCAGAGTTATTCCAAAGCTATTCTTCCCTCTGGATCAGCCACAACAGGATGCTGCAACTGTCAAAGGAGCTGGGTACAGTGAGCAGTTCCTGTCTGAGATGTTGGCACCTTCAAGTGATTCTAGTGGTTCATCTGCTATCCTGCAGCGTACAAACATTAACAATCTGCCAGCACCATTCAATGTTTGCTTCCCTTATGCAGTTTTTGGAAACCCGCGTCTCTGCTATCGTCGGAGTATAGACACATCTCTGTCTAGAATTGTGTGCCTCTTGTCCCAGTCTTTACTCATGTCTGCCAGCAAATATCTCACAGTAAGTTTGTTTTGTTGATGTTGTTTGCAGTTTCATGACCACCTTCATCCCTTACTGCATCTAACACATATAAAAAGAGTAATATTAAATGTTTCCTGTCCTTCTTAACATGGTAAGCACAGTAAAAGAATAGACATTCAAATTAAGCAGTCCATTAGCATCAAGATATAGTGAATCTGTCTGATATGTGTGGGGTCCATGCCATCACTTTTACACTGGCCGGCACAGTTAACACATTTACTGTTACTCACTCATTCTCTCAGTGCCAAACATGACTTGATCTTCATATTTCTCCTTGCTATATTTGCAGTTTGGTTGTTGCGAAGCTTTGGCTCTGTTGTCTTCACACTATCTTACAACAGTTTACCCGAAAGCATGGAATTGCTCTCTGAGCAGTAAGACAGGTGGCCAGAAACCTAATTCCAGAAGAAACACCAGGTGAATGTGCATTTGTTCTTCATGTACTATTTCTAACTGCTCTTAAATTTTCTTTTAAGGAAGATCCTAATTTACATGTGTTTGAAACAAAGTGATCAGAAAAATTAATTTGGGCCAAAGAAGGATGAAGTAAGTGAGTAATTTAGACAAACTTTGTGATTTATACTTAAATCAGGGAGCCTGTGGTGGGTTGGATATGTAACAAAAGTGGTAGAGGAAGTGAAGTGTATAAAATTCTGCTGGGGAGACTGAAACCCTTTGGAAAACATCCATTTGGTTGACTGAGATGGAGATATGTGAGATTGGGAGGTTAATGAAACTGACTCAGAAACATGTCCAGTGGTGGGCTTTGGCATTCACTGTGCTGAACCATTGGGTTCTGCTGCTACAAGGGTAGTCAGTTAGTATGTAGGTTATTTTTACCACAGTTTATTCCAACTCATAGTACTGTATTGACTGGGCTCTTAATTGAGAGCAATGGCACATCTTTCTCAGTTGTATAATATTTAACCATTATTGGAACAGTTTTTGTAATGGGAAAAACCATGTTCTTCTAATGCTGCACTAACATTCTCTGTTACCAACTACATGGACCAAGATCTTTGGGGAGACCCGTTATACACTGGTGTAAGACCATAACAAGCCACTGGGCCTAAGACTTGGAAAGCTGATGATGATGGAAGAATTTTTATATTTGCCTAAGAGAAACTAATGTTTTTTTACATTTTGTTGTTGTTTCTGAATTATTCTGTAGCCAACAGGGACATGAAGTCTCATCTGCAGATGCAGTTGTCAGTCCTGCAGCTGGTCTTTTCTCTACCACATTGGCTGTCCTGACAGGATCTCCCATCTCATTAGATCTTAGCTGCCAGCAGTGGCTGATAGAGTTGGCAGGAAACATATTCTCAGGTATGTTAGTCTTTTTCAGAAATATAGTTTTACATATGTATGGCTTGTTTGTTGCTAACGCTGTTTGCACACTTTGTGTTTGAATGGAAAAAATCTCTTTTTTGTCATGAAAACTTCTGTATGCATCTGTGTTTTGAGCATGTGTGCAGAAGAAGCTTGGGAGGGGATTTTGTGTTCATGTCAGTGGACTCGTACATTTCACTCTTTAGTCTCTTAAATGTGCTTGTATATGTATAGGCGTGGCAGTGTGCAGTTTACGCCCCAGTGATAGCTGCATTCCTGGAGAAGCTGCTGAACGTCACAAGCAACTCTGGGGAGTACTGAGGGACAAACAGGTACAGAATGTGTTAATATTGAGATGTGGCATGTGGTACTTCAGGACACTGGCCATGTTGTTTCCAAAGATGCAAGTGTTATTAATGGCTATTCATATTGCTTCATTCAGCTACCATATGCTAGTTCTAGGAAAGTACAGCAGAATGTCACATGAATTGGCAGAACATGAATAACTGGCAGTTGCCCAAAAACTTGCTAATCTGCAAATTCTAAATACTGTGTGTGTGTGGGTGTTGATGCAGCTGAAAAAGTTGCCATTTCACAATTAGTAGCAGGGTTGTTATTGTTGTTTGTTTGTTTTTTCTTTTCTTTTTCATTTAGGAACGTCAGGTATGTAGTTCATGTTGTACCCCTTTTTTCTTTTTTGCCTTCCCCTTTGTGGTATTTAATGGGAGTATCAGCCATGCTGGGAACACAGAATTTTGTTGTCGGACCATCCACCCATTAGAAATGAGGAAGCAGTGATGTGTTACAAACCTCCAGTCCTTGGGTGATGGATACATTTGACAACTTGAATTATTTCACATGACTTCATGTGTAACTTTAATTGTGAATGTTCATCCTGGGTGATTATGTAGTATGTTATACTTAATAATACATAAATGTGGTCATATATAGGCATGTGTGCATCCCTGTGGAACACTTTTTAAAATCACTATTTCCATCTGTCTGTCCATGTGCATATAACAATTGAGATCAGGTAACTGGAAGTCCACGAAAGTCCTAAAATGTTTTACACATTCAGAATTTGGTTAAAATAGGACAGCAATAACATGCACTTTTATGAAAGCCTATATGTGTTTCTGCACACCTAAGGACTGAATTCAGAATCTATCTTTGTTAGTGTGGTTACCCTGGTTGACTGTCAAAGGTCACATTCTGGTCAACATGCCAGGATTGTTGCGCCATGTTTCAGTTTTTAATTTTTACATTGAAAGGTTATAGATATTTGTGATTAAATTGTGCTACTGAATCAAGTGAAATAGAAGACACTTTGATATGTTTGCAGTTGTCTTCATGTGCTGAGATGCTTCTGCTGCATGTTGTGCGCATACTTAACATATTTGTCCACGTCCTGGAAGAGCTGGCACCTACTGTTCCAGCACCAAAACCATCACTTCCCTCATTTTCTACTGCTCCATCTCTCTCTCCTATTAAACGCAAGGGGAAGGTTGCAGAAGTAACTGTGGGAACAGCAACAGCAGCAGGAACAACCTCAGAAGGTGGTCGCACTAGAGGGTTGTCACCAGTAAAGACTTCTTTAGGTATGTAACTCTTTGGAGCAAAGACCTTCTTGAGAAGCTGATAGAAAGAGCCAGTCAAGGGATTATTCACCATTTATGGAGCCAGGAGGTTTGTTACCATGTTTACAGGAAACTACAGGATCTCGTCTGGAGGCAGCTGAATTCAATGCACATTCAGACGCCAAGCATTTATTGTTAATATGGTTTTAAATTAATTTGTATGATAAGAACATTCTCATTTCTTGTTGAAGTAATTTGTTTGGTATTTGTTTAAAACATCGTAAAATTGTGTGTATTCTTTCTAGATAAGGAAGAGAGGTCTAGCGAGGATAAGAAAAGTGGCCGAGGGACATCTTTGGGATTCTTTGCTGGTATTTCTCACTACATGAAGATACATGACATTATGAAAAGTGCATATACCAATTATAAGGTGAGACAATTACACTGCATGAAAATAGTATTGTATTAACAAATCTATTTTAGACTCATTTACTGAGGTGCACTTGCTCTTAGTTACTAGATTACTTATGCTTCTGCATGTAATTTAAAATGTGAATCATTGGTATTCACAATAACAGTATTCTCAGGTGCCATAAATAGTTAGGTCTGTGACTGGTAATTGTGAACATTATATATTTCAAAGATATATTGTAATATATTTGTCCTAATTCTGCTTTTTAATTATCTGCACATTAAATTATGCCAATGCTGTACAACTAAATGTTATTGTTATCCATTTTAGAAGGCTGAATTTTGTGTCATTTTTAGGTCTTTGAATATGTTTTGAAGTTAACTTTGTTTATTTTGCAAACAAACTGAGCAACCTTTTTTTATATATATTTATCATTGTGTAACTTTCTCATCCTTCTTTTATTCCACTCTCCTGAATCCAAGTTTTCTCCTGTAAGGAAAAAGGGTTGCTAGTGACCTCGCCAGTTTCTTTATTACTCACAGACTTCAGTACTCATACAGGCTAGAAAAGCACTAATCTGTATCAAAATAATATGTACTGTGTTTATTTCTTTTAATAGATAACCCTGGATTCAGGAGCAAGTGAAAAGTTTGTGAGTTTGCTGCGTGTGACGCTTGAAACATTATCACAGTTGCTTGAAGTGGGAACACTTAATGAGGCAGGACGCATTGCAGAAGAAATTCTCTCATATCTAAGATTTACAGTCAGTGTAGAGCCTACAGCTACTGTGAAATGTGTACAGCAGGTAAAAAAGATTATGTTGTGTTTTTTATTCTGTTTGGTTTAGTATGAAGGCAAGTACAAATTTAGGACAATTTGATCATAATTTTGGCAAAGTAATCACGTAGTAGTGCGACATATATTTTTGTGTATTATTTCCATACTTTTCAATGCATTTTGTCCATTGCCCCTGTTTTCCATTTCTGTCAGAGCAAAATATATTTTGTTATATAAGCCATTCTCACACTGCTTCTTTTTATTGTTAATGATCATTTCGGATGCTGAATCATCAGTGCTGATTCTTGGGTTATCCCAGATATTGATTGAGCTGTTCCTTAACCACAGTGCATGTTACAGTTGATGTTTACTGGACTCAATAGCACTTCTTTAAGTCTCTTCACCCATCTCCAATCTTTCGTTAGGCTCTTACAAATTGAACTATCATTCCTCTGTAAATTTGAGTAATTTTCACACCCTCTGCCAATATAAATCAGATCACAGATCTATGTTCTTTGATGCTATCAATAGCTGAGCCATATGAAACATATCCCAGTGTTAACATACCCTAAAAGATCATGAAAACTAACTAGATTAACTGGGTGCAACTGAGGAAAAGTTCATATTGTCCATTGGCATATCTGCCATGTAGTTTAGTGCTGCCAACACCACTTTAAAAACAAACTAAAATTGCATTTCCTTTTTCACATTTCTTATTTCAAGTTAATTTCCTGCCTTGGCAGTTTCTACAAGGTGTGTTGAACACATTGCATGAACTTGTTTTGTATTCCTTTGGTAATTTATAGATCTGATATCCATAAGAATTTTATCATGCCACTTCTGAACTTACAGTTGTTGAAGTGCCTATTTGGGACCAACCTATCGGCTCAGTGGGTAAAGCCTGATGACAATCAGCGGACCTCATCATCTTCATCAAGCTGCACTTCTGATCAGAATAGTGAGGGTTTCTATGGTGTATGTTTCCAGACTCCTTACAGACATTTGACAGACTTTGTTACATCCCCTAGCAATAAGGCACAAGACAAGGATGAAGGATTCATGTAAGCTTGACCTTGATTTACAAACTTCTGCATACTGAATTTTTTTGTCATTGACTGCCTTTCCTTAGGTGCGATTTAAATGTCCAGCATATGTTTTAAAAAGTATAGATGAAACTAGATGGTTTCATTTCTATATGCTTGTCTAAAATATTTCCATTCCAGACTTGATGTGGTACAGTGTTTGAAATTAAGAACATTCCTTTATGTATGGCAAGAAGTAAATTATTAATTGCCAACATGATAATTATGATTGTGGTGAAAATAATTCATTTTCTTGTTTTTATAGGTGGATGAACTGTTTGCGACGGAAATCAGAAAGGAAAGGGGCTGCATACAAAGGTTTCATTCATGGAGCTGACAAAACTTCATTGGCTTCATACATTAGATTGTTTGAGCCAATGGTTATCAAGGCTCTCAAGGTAAATAATGTCTGAAGATGGCTGTCTCCTGGGTAGTCTGGTAGAAGTTTACAGACATTTCAGAGGTATTTGTTGCCTCCATCATTAGGTTGAGTAAAAAATGTCCTTGTCTGTTTTATGTGACAGAGATATTGTATTTTGTTATATAATTAACACTGTTTTCACAAACTTTAGTGACTGACATGCACATTTTTAAAGATGGAGTGTTATGTAGCATATGATTGCTTGCTTGACCTAACATTAAATGTATAAGTGAAACATGTTCGCTATAAAATGGGATAGGTGCTAAATGTGATGCATAACAAAATATGGCTTATATTATTTATTTACACTATTTAGGTATTTATTAATCCAGTCTTTATGTCATACTCTTGTTTATCATGTTTATTTGGTACGCTGACAGCTTCATTAAACCTTAAAATAAATGCTTTTAAACTCGTAAAAATGTTTCATGCACAAGTTTTATTGATGATATGTAATATCGCACCATACCAAATTTAATGTTATGCCTAGAATGGCTCATTAGTGCTTCTCATAGTATTGGATGGCAGATATATTTCATGCATTTGCCATGTTGATGTATTCATTTTGAGCATAAGGGTCTTAACAAAAGTTTGATGTTTTTGTGACTTGAGAATTTATGTTTGCAGCAATATACAGTTACAAGTGATGTGCAGCTTCAGTGTCGAGTATTGCTCTTACTGAGCCAGTTGGTGCAGTTGAGAGTCAACTACTGTCTTCTTGATTCTGATCAGATTTTCATTGGATTTGTGCTGAAGCAGTTTGAATTCATTGAAGAAGGACAAATTCCGTATGTTTATTTCCTCAATTTCTTTACAGCATGGTGCCTGTTTCTTATCATTAAAATATATATATAATCACTCTAAATATTATGTGTTCTGTAATTCAACTTTTAAATGAGCACTTTGTTAACATACTTCCAAAAAATTGGTTCTTTTCATGTTAGTGAATTGAGCCAGCAAGATGTGTTATAGGCCTGCTATAATCTTATCTGATTCTTGCTTAGAAGCTTATTTTCTATTGCTTGTAATTCATGTAAATATTTTCAGGTGGCACAGATGTGTGAACTGTTTAATTTTAAACAGTATTTGTTTGTTGCCTTGGGCACAGAGGTATGTCTTGTATGTGTTATTCCAGATTTACTAAACAGTCTGGAAAATCTTGCATTGTCTATAGCAGTAGACTGGGTAGTGAGTGGGTTAAAACTTCTCATATAAATATAAATGATGTTCATACATAGTTGCAAATTTGCCATTTTACCTTTAAATATGATACAGACAAGGCACAAATCTATGTATATTGTATATAAAATATTACTTCCTTCTAACAAAATACAGTGATTACTTGTCGAATTAGCCCTATTAAAAATTTGGATGTTGTCTCCACATGTGCTTGTTTTTTTGTACCAAAAACTAATAGGAGCTGTATTTAGACTGATGCAAATATTGATAGCTGAGTGCTTCATTCATGCCCTATGAACATTTCATATTTTTATTTGCCCAATGTCCATGTAATGGAGAGATTATCAATCAACGCTTTAGTTGTTCACCATTTCCTTCTTCTTGTGCTTTTGAAGAGGTATTGTGGTACATGTGTCAGATTTCTGTTGAATTATGTGTTCAAGCTCTCAAATGTCACATATAAAAATTTTCATAAAAGAGCAGGAAATTCTTGCATGTTCTGTTGTTCTGTCACATTCCTTGGATGTGTAAGATGTAAAAATGTCAGAATTCTATAGTTTTGATGATCAATTGGAACCACTCAACATTTTTGAGAGGCAGATAATGTTTGCTTTATAATGATTTAATTTCCATAATCTTTCAAAGTACAACTAGTTGGATGTAGAAATACAAACTCAATTGTGTAAGCATAAATTTCTTACTTAGGAATGCTGAAGAGCTGATACCTCGAATATTCTATTTCTTGGTGCACCTGTCATATGACGAACATCATTCTAAGAGTATCATTGGTGTGCCAAAGGTAATCCAGTTATGTGATGGGTTAATGGCAAGTGGACAGTCACCAGTCACACACTGTAAGTTGTAGCTTTCCAAAGCTGGATAGTCATGTATACAAAATATTTTGTTCTGTGATTCCCCCCACTCCTTATGCATTTCTTTATATAAAGTCATAATATTATAAAATGTATTGCTGCCTCTTGACCTGAGGAGCTGGTGATTAAATAGCCCAGACATTGCAAAGCTGAGGTTGGTTCATGGGTGGTTTTATATTGTTTAGGTATTCCTGCACTAGTTCCAGTTGTGGAAGATGTGTTTTTAATACGTGGTTCAAGTAGCACTAGCAGCTTTGATATGAAAGAACTAGACACTCAGCGGGAAGTTCTGGTATCCATGCTGTTGCGGTTGGTCGAGTACCATCAGGTCAGTCTGCCTGATGTTCAAACACTTCACCACAGTAGCAATTTCACAAATATAAATTGCCTCTCAGTTTCATAATGAACATTTGTGAAACAGGTTTTGGAGCTACTGAGTATGGTACTTAATGAGAGCCGTGAGAGTGAAGAACGATGGCGCCGTTGGTCACGTCAAGTAGTAGACGCACTACTCCCTCTTCTGGCACAGGGTCGAGTGAGGCTGGAGTCTAGGGAAGCTCAGCATTCTCTGCAGCGTTTGCTTGCGTCTGTTGCTCCCTGTGTCTTGAGGCCTGTTGACTCTCTTCTACGTACCCTCTTCTCAGAAGCTCCACAAATGGTGAGTTATTTTATCTTGTGTATTTGTTTGCTTACTTTTTATATGTTGCTTAAATATGTTAATTTAGAAGAAATACCCTGTCCTAAGCCTGATTTTGTAATGTGTATTATATCTTTTGTTTCAGCATAGCACTACAGTAGTAATGGAGCGATGGTTGGGTATGGTCCTTGCAATCCTACTACTTCTCATATCTCTGGGGAAAGAAGAAGTAGTTCTTGCTCGCCTGGAAGAATTAGAACTATGTCTGCCACCTCTGGGTTCACTGTACAGGCCAGCTGAAAGACATGATCCTTTGAATGTGGCAGCCACAATTCCCAAATGCAAGCAGTTACCACCAGAGCAAGTAATGGCAAGGTCAGTAAATTTGTCATGATAGCTGTGGGTTTAAAAGTGTTTCTACACTAAACTATTTATTGCAGCAGTTCTGAGCAAAACGATTTGAGTTGATTTTTTACCTAGCGTTTTTGGCAGATTATAAGCAGCAGGATTTAAGTTTCTGCATGACATTAATGAATGAACAAGAGGGGATAAAATTCAAAGCAGGATATTAAGCATGGTGTGAATACAGCGTCAGTACAAGAAAAATTGTGGATGTTACTTGTGGACAGCAACAGGAATCCTTTGAGAACAGTACAATTTAACTAACTGCATAAGTATTCAATTTCTTTCTCTACCAATCTTGTGTCAGTTTTTTAAACAAATATTAACATAAGCCTTTAAATTAATGAAAATTGTTGGTGTTAGCAAACACTTCTTGCTTATATACTTCATTTTCAGGTTCCTTATGCAAGTGTTGGGGCTTGTAAGTAATCACATACATGGTTCTGTATATAGTCCCCTGACAAGTGACGAGACTTTGTATCTACAGGAACAGTTCTCACATTTCCTGTTGTACTGCATCTATATGTTTGAATCAGGTAATATGTTATAGCAATAAGTGATTGTTTCATTTAATTTTATTCATGTGTCATGGAATTTGTTTTGTATGTTGGATATCGTCATTATATATATTTTCTTTTTTCAACCGTCATGTCAGTCATGTTTCTTTCAAGTGACACAGAGTCTTGTCTGTCACATTTGCGTCTCTTTTACATAACATCAGAGATTATATGATGTGTAGCAATAATAGAGAACTTTTTGCACCAGACCATATGAGTTATAATGTCTGTCACTTGTTTTGGTTATTATATTTGCTACTGTACTTTTCAGACTTTGATGTCAAAATTTGTAATTAATGTCATCTTTCATGTTTAAGACTAGACCATATTAAGTGTATAGAGTTGTGAATTATGCATTGAATTACTGTATGTAATTTTAAAGATGCATATTTGTACAGAATTATGATCGTAGTTGACATCCTGTTACTAACAGATTGCTATAATTGCTTTTTTGCAGGCAGATACTGTCGTGTCGCTACAGCTGTAATGCAGATGGTACAGCAAGGAAAGGAAATGGGGAGTGATCCTAACTCATGCTTACCAATCAACGACATCAACAATTTATTTTTGGAATTGGCTCCAAAGTGCCCTATGCATATGTTCAAGTGGTGCTATATCCTTACCCTCGTGAACTTTAGTGACCAGACTTTCTGGGCCCAGATACTACGCACTCAACCACATGACCTTATTCTTGAACAGGGGTATTATAAAACAGTCTTTTACTTCTGTTTTAGTCATGCTTCATGACTAAATTTCATGATTACCCATTTACTAGCATTTTGCCTTAGCCTTTAACTGTTTACTCTGTTTTATTTATATCCAACCAGATATTTCTGAAAAAAATTAAAACTAACTAGATGGCTTGTGGAACCTGAAGGTTCATTACCGAATTAACTAAAGCTCTCCACTGGTTCCTGTCCTGGGCCAAGAAAATCCAGTTGCCTTCAACTCCTACTTCCAATAGATCCCACTTGATATTATCCTTCCATCTATGTCTCCCCAGCAGTCTCTCTCTTCCCCTCAGGCTTCCTGACCAATAACCAGTGCTCACCTCTTGCCCAATCCATGTGAGCCACATGCCCTGCCCATCTCATCCTTCTCGACTTAATCACACGATATTGGGGGAGGAGTACAAATTTTTAAGCTCATCGTTCTGCAGTTTTCTCCTCTTCTCTCCTAGGCCTCCTCAACACCCTATTCCCAAACACCTGCAATCTTAGGCTGCGGTCACACTGCAAGCATATTCGCGCGAATTGACGGTCGGGCGAACTATCAAACACGTTACAAGGTATGTAACTGGTCACACTGCAAGTGAAGTTATCGCTCGACATCGCTCGTCGTTCAAACATGTTTGTTTCCATTCGCGCGAAGAGATGGATACTGAAAAATTAATTCATCTTGTTTTCAATGAGAAGGCTTTGTATGACCAAAAAATGAAAACTTATCACAACAGAGAGGTTTCAAGGAAGTTATGGCAAAAAAATAGTGACGTTTCAAGTGAGTAAATATTGCAGTTTAAGTTTATTACAAATACTTCCTTGCTACACTAGTACAAATTCTATGTTTATGTTTGTTGAAGTAGTGGATTGTGTGTGGTACGGATAATTAGAGAACGTTGAACTGTCAGCTAACGGCGGTGATTTGCACACCTACACTAGATTCGTTGATCCACCAAGTGCCAATGTTGACGTATGTAATGATTTACAAGCATGTTGTGCTGACCTATTATTTGATCGTGATTGTTTATATTTATTATGCTTGCATTTTGTCGTGTCGACGATGTGATAAATGGATCATAAATACCTCCCTTCTCAATAATAATATTACGCAACAAGCATATGCACTTTACGATTAAATTAGCTTTATCTGGTTCAGTTTGAGTACACTTATTGAGTAACCTCCATTTGGCTACATTGGCATATTCTGCTGTTCTCCATGCTCTGGAGAGTCTGTAATTATAAATCTGTTCATCTCTTGATAAATCTAGTTTTGAATATGGTTTCATCAGATAAGTCTTTAAAGGATATGCATCATCACCTAATAAAACATGTGGAAGTGACAAATCAGTTTGAGGAAGATTTGCATTTTGTGGTAACTTCAGCGATCCATTTTCAAGGGATTTGTAAAAACTTGATGCAGCGAAGGTTCCTCCTTCACTCTGTTTTCGTACCCGCCTATATCAACACATACAAATTTATAGTTTGCGTCACAAACAGCTTGCAAAATAATGGGAAAGAATTATTTGTAGTTATAAAACTACGTGCCATATTTTTCTGGATATGTTTTCCATCAATGCAGCCGACACAATTACGAAAATGCCGTATATCAAAGAATTCAGCAGCGTTCTGATGGTGAAATACAGTTTCGGAAATTACTCTGTTGTTGTTGTTGTTGTTGTTTGTTTGTTTGTTTTTTGTTGTTGTTGTTTCCCCCCCCAATAGCATTTATTAAAAATTGGTATGTATTCAACAACATCCTGTAATAGTCGTGAAATTTGGTTGGTTGCAAGCTCAATTTATCAAAAAGTGTGTGAAATTCACTTTCACATCTGTCATGGTATATATCATTCACCCAACATCGTCGTGCCTTCCTTCCAGCTACTAAAAGCTTAAGCAAACTGTTCTCTGACAGATACATTTCTTCCTCGAACTCCATTTTCATACTGATGGCTCGCGCCATAAACGTTTGCGCGTTATCGCTTGCAGTACTACCACAATAAGTTCACCTGAACTCGCTTGATAACGCCCGACCGTCAATTCGCGCGAATACGCTTGCAGTGTGACCGCAGCCTTATGTTCCTCCCTCAGAGTGAGAGACAATTTTTTGCACCCATACAAAACAGGCAGAATTATTGTTTTGTATGAACGTGATTACAATTGCATGTCATAAAATAGAATCACGCATTATAAGCACATGATGTGAGAATATCAGCTGACATAACAAAAGATATAGTACTGGAGGGAACACATAAGAAGAGTTAAAATGAGTATAAGTGGAAAAATAATAGGATAGGTAAATTCGTTTTAGTGTCTCAGGTGCAATATAGCAACATATAAAATGAACTTAGACCAGGAAGAATATATTAAAAATGTAATAAATTAAATTAAAACAATCCATTAAAAGATACTTTGGCAATAAATATGAGACCAGATCATACAACATGCTTTGTAGGACTGTAATGTATTGCAGTGAAGCATTGATTATAAAATTCGAAGATCAGCAAAGAACAAACATTTCAGGTGAGATTCCAGAGGTTGGAACTAGGAATTAAACTGAGAGAGATAATAACATGTGAAGAAGCATGAAAAAAATTACAAATGGAAAATGTATGATAGAGAGATATGACTTGGACCAATTGTGGAAAAAATGTGGGGGACAATTTTAAGAACCTTTGAGTGGGATTTCTTTCCCAATTCCTATTATAAAAGAAGGAGATATCATTCTAATTGTAATGTAGGCTGTGATGCACTTCGATGAATGGACCAAGTGTAGCCCTTCAGCCAGATGTGACCAGTGCAAAACATCTGACATGCCAGCAAAGTTATGTTTTAGTAATGACAATTGAAGAACATTGCAGTGAAATAGCTACCATTCTTGCTTCATTTTGGGTTGAATTCTTGGCCCAGAGGCCGGCTATCTCTTGTGAGGCTTTTTCCTCTGTCCATACAAGCAAATGTTGGTGTAGTATCTTAAAATAGGCCTCTTCTCCTGCATTCCAAAACTTGTTTGCACATCCAATTGTAATATGTTTGTATTAGAATGTTTAGTTTCTTGAATTCTTTGTTTCTAGACCTGTTCAAGCAGAGAGCTGTGGGCCATCTCCTTGCATAAATCTAGAGTTGGTGCGGAAAGGTGGCACAATCCTGTACTGTGACTATGTAGTGAGTGTAAATTGTCTAATTAACCCCATTGTTTGATAACTCTATTATCTGTGTAACCTTGGCTCAGCTTCATATTTCAGGCATATAATATGAGATCTCTTTGTTCAGGGGTTTCATGAGAAGGGGCTGAAATATGACTCTCAAGTTATAATATGTATAAAGGAATTTAAAACTTGTTATCAGAGTTCTGTAAATATTTTCTTCATTTGGAGTCATTGGTCTCACTCACTGCATAATGTACTTTGTGCAGTCTATTACAGCTAAGCTTGTTCACAAGCGACTAGTCTTAGTGTCTGAAAACAAACATGATCAGCAGTTATCTTTCCATAACAGCACTCCTCAGAGTTTCATCATTTATTTTATTTCTCTTTATTTACTTACTGTAGACTGCAGTATTCATATAGTGTAAATCAGGGGTGGCCAACCCAAATGATCTTTCGGGCCACTTTGGAAATGCATCATAACTCCGCGGGCCACATATAAAATTATATATCCCCATATTAGATTTAGATACACTATAGACATTTTTTTTGGAGTGAAACATAGAACCTGTTATATTAGATGTTCCAAGATGCACGCGCATCATGAGTTTGCAGAATATAGTTTAATTATTCTGCGAACTCATAACTGTAAACTCATGAATAAAACAGGCAATATCTGTCATATATTCGCAAGAATATTATTTTAAAATCAAAGTTAATTTTTTCTCATAATTTCGACAGATAATTTTTGAATATATGGATGCACAAATAATGCATTTTTTTAATACATTGCCCCTGGTGTAAATGAATGAATGAGAGAAAGAGGGGTAGGTGATTTAACAACCCTAGCATCACAATCTGTTGTACGTCCCCTAAGTGCAATCTGAGGTGGCAAAATGTTGGTACAACTAGAGGTTCACAGTGACATAGAACATCTGAGGTTTTTTCTATGTTACGACATCTGTCACAGGTGGTTCTCTGTATCAGTCCTAATTTGAATTGACTCCTTGATTCCATATTTGAGTGTGTATGTCTATTTGTATTTATTTACTTATTTCTGTTTCACAGTGTGAAAATATGAATGATGCTGAGCAGCTCACTTGGTTGCTGGTGAATCATATCGAGGAGGTGGTGAGTTTGTCAACTGAGCCACCAGTACAGGAACTTATTGCTGCTGTACATAGAAACCCAGTAGCAAGTGGATTATTAGTTCAAGCTGTAGGTGCACGCTGCCAGAAACTCAGACAGGTTTGAAATAACTTTATTATTGTTTCTCAGGGCCATATTAATGTGGATATCAGGGGTTTTCCACTCTTCATTATATATGGACTTTATTGTTCCATTACAGAATTAATTTGTTTAGCATCATGTAATGGCAGAGACTGATTCTGATATAATAATTGTAATGATAAGATAGGTTAATTCTGTTTTGCTTTGTGTGTGTGAACTGTAATTGTAGCCTAACACAGTGATGTTTCTGTGTAATATTTATCTTCTTCCAGTATTCAGTATTCTAATTATTGAACTTCTCCATTTGAGGTTCACTAAGTCTGCTGTCATAACAATATGTGAAAGCTATGCATAAGGGATGTTTTTAGTGGCATGTACATGTAGTTATGCTGGGTCTCTTTGTTAAAGAAATTCTGTGCTGAGATTAATACTATTTTAATTATATAGCTGAGTAACTGATATTTAATTTTTTTAAATAAAACTTATTTTTTAGCCCAGTTTTGTGTGTCGGGTTTTGCACTGCCTGGAAGGTGTACATCCTTCTCAGAGTGGCACTCTTCTCATCTTGCTCATACCTCGATTGCTTGGTCATCCCCAACTTGCGCCTGCACGTCTGGCAGGTACACTGGCATGTCGCCGAGCAGAATTACTCCTTACATTGTCTGCAGACGAAGTTGCAGCTCAGCTCTCTGAAGCCGATCTGAAGAAAATTATGGACATTTTACACTCCACTTCACTAGCTAGGAAGTTAGTATCTGCAAGTAACCAGAAGAACAGAAAGTTTAATTTTATTCAATATTCCATTCGAAAGACTTATTTTATTCCTCACTGTTATTATCAGCATTGCCACTACTGCCACTGCCATCCCCATTGCTCTGAGCAACAACCACCACTGCCACAGTCACTGGAACCAATATTGCCACCACCTCCTTATTTGAGTATATTTACTGCCTTATATAAAGGCAGTAAATATACTCAAATAAGGAAGCAAGAGGTTTATGACTTTAATTCCAGTTTAAAGATATTGAATGTAATGAAGATAATGGAAATAGCACAAAAGAATAAAGTTTAGTTTAAAATTAAAATTTTAAGAAGTGATAGAACCCAGTAACATCTATTTATTGTGTCGAAGCAGTCAATTTTGAGCCCAAAATGTGGTCAAATTTCAGGCTTTGAAAGAGGGTTGTGTAACTGCTTATATGAACTTGTAGATTATGAATGTAATGTTTTATATGAAAGGAAATAATTTAAAGCTCAAATTATCTGCAGTTTAGAAATTTCTGAATTGGACAGGTTTTGATTCATTCTTAATTATTTAATGGCACTTTCTCAACCACATAGTGTTGAATAGTGGGATAATGAATTGAATAGGATGCAGTCATGATCTGTTTATACAGTAGTGTCCTATCACTTAATGTGGGGTGATTGAGGAAAATCATGGTAAACCTTGGGATGAGAAGCCGGTGTTCAGAGGCCAAATCCATGGCTTCCTGAATACAAAACAGGTCATGGTGTTTGGTGGGCAGTTGAAATCAAAACATGAAGACTTGAATGAGGCTTATGTGTGTAAGAACAGCACTTAATTTTATTGTTTGTGTTTTTGTATGACAAAAATTAATATCTTGTAATTTTCAGACACAGTGGGTTATTGAGCCTCCTCAATAAACTGGGAGCACAGTACTACAATATTCCTCCATTGGAATTAGATCCAGGACAAACATTTGATCCATCTGATATTCGTTCTGTTACTATCAACAGGGCTTGGTTTCTAGCACAGGTGACAGCCAGGTTAGTAAATTGGTACAGATAATTCAAATCCAGTCTTTACCGCTTTACTTCTTGTACCTCTTGAGTAGGGATGTGTGAGCATTCATATTTTGAAATTCAACCTCAAATCCTGCCTGTAAATGTGACCATACTCTGTTTGGAACGTCTACAGTGTTCATGTAAGGAAAATGTACATAGCAAATGGAGTGCCAGAATTTCATGTACACTAGAGTAATGTTCTCCAACCTTTCTGACTCACAGCACACCCTAATTTGTCAAAGACATGATGGCACACCACAAAATTTTACCTCACAAAACTAAACATGGCCATAAATATGTATCCACATCTGCCACATACCCTTTGCCATATTAAATCATACAGACATGGCAGCCATATAGGCTTGTAGTTTGGTAGAAATTTATCAGTGTTTTTCAGAAGTTAGATATTAGGGCTCATTGCCTGATAACAGAGGCAGCTAGGACCTCTGAAATGTTGGTAAACTTCAACCAGACTACTTGGCATTACAACCTAAAAGACAGCCATCTTGCTGGTTTCGCTTACTAACAGGTCCCTCCAGTACAGTTATAGTTGAAAGTTGTGAATATCCTTTGCTTTGTATGCAGGTGCTGTCACTGTAATCAGTCTGGAGCTGAAACAGCCCAGCTACTGAGCAAACTGGAGTATGAGGAAATTGTGTCCATTCTCAGCTGCAAAGAGTTTAATTCCCTCAACCTCAAGGACTGTCTAAAATTAGGAACACAGCTTACTCTCCAGGTGATTTCCTTCTTCAATAATAAATTGCGCTGTGTAAATGTGATACAAACTCAAGACATAACTAAAAAAGAAAAGTAAATAACAGATAGTTGATTATACTGTTCAAGTTCTTTGCCAGAATCAGTTCATGTAGTCTCATTTGGGATGTGAGTAACCTCTTCCCGAAAGTAAATTTAGGAGTTGTTTGGGTCTTTGTGTTCACCTGGTATTATAGTTTATCATTGTATAGTAGAAATGTGTTACATTCTGTCATGTAAGAAAGACACTGCAAAAGTAATTTGAATATAACCTGAAGATCGTTTTAATTTTTCTATTTTATGTTTTTGTTTAACACACGAATTTACTTCTAGATGAAAGATACTGCTCCACAATTTGTTTTATTTCCTTTTTTGCATTTCCAGTAGACCATTACAATATCATGTTGTCACTAGTCTAGCTTTATTATTTCCCATTTTTTGCCATGAACATTGCTCCTCAGAATAACACAGTACCTCACAGCACGATGCAATACAGCACAAGATCATATAAAAAATACTGAATTTTTAAAAATTGTTTTCTGTTGGTTTCCATTTATTGGTGGTGCTTTAGTGTTGATTTTGCTTTGTATTCTGAGGACCAGAGAAATGTTTCAGTAAAGACAGGTTTTGCTTTATATGTGTTCTGTTTAGATATCTTTTCTATGCCTTATAAGAAATAATGCAAGCATGGCCAATTAAAACCATAAGCATAATTTCCTCTTTAATAGATTTGTACATTTATTCAAATGATAGGAATAAAATGTATTGCCTTGTTTGAGACAAGTTACTTGCTGCTAGAGTATATTTTACTGAATCTCTTTCATAACAGGCTTATCAGAACTTACCAGCATCCCAGGTTGGCTTTAATGATGTGGCAAATTATGTAGCTGCTGACCAGTCTGTGTCTGTGTTGGAATCCCCGTTGTATAGAGCTGCAAGATTGTCAGTATTGCAGCATGTCGCCAATATTAGGGCTTTAATACCAAAACCACATCAGGTAAAGTGAAGATAATAATTTTCTATGTATGATTTGAGGTTTTCACAGTGGTGAGTATGAAGATTTCTGTCTTCTGGGTTGTTGCACCGTGTAGTATGGTAGATGTTTAAACATCGTGGTAAACATCTACCATACTACATGGCGCAACAACCTGGAAGACAGAAATCTTCAAGTATTTTCTAAATCAAAACAGAGAGGGTGAGTGAAGCAATGAACATTCATTTTCTGAATGTGCATCTGTCAGTGTGTCTCTAGACTTGCTCTCAGGAGTTAAATTAATATGAAACTTTGATTCAATATCTTTCATTTTCAGGTTTACTACCCCCAGGGACGTGATATTAACATGAAGGAAGCCAAGTATTCATCTCGCCTTGACCAGCTACTTGGTGATCCCATATTTTGGAGGGCTCTATTCAGAGTGTCACCTGCCGTTACCTGCTACTTACAATCACTGCCTGTCCTTACTCTTGGTGGAGTAAGACCAGGTGTACCTCAAGCATCATGGGATGATGTAGGGAAGTTTGGAATCCTTTGTCTTGAGGTATTGATATGTTTCTTATTGTACATATCTCTGAGATGCAGTGTGTTATATATAAATGACCACAATAGATGGGATCTAGTGACTGGTAAATTCACCATGACAATGCATCTGCCCATTCATCCCAGCTTTCAAGCAGTTTTTGGTTGAATGCAGTATTCTACAAGTGAGACAGCCTCCCTACTCACCAGATGTGCCTGACTGTGACTTTTCTATTTCTTAACAAAAATAAACTTTGAAGAGCAAAGGATTTGTTGCCATGGAAAAAATGTAATGCAGTATAATAGAGCAGATATTGGCAGTTCCAGAATTTGAGTTTGAGGTGTTTTCAGCACTGATGCGAACAGTGGAATATGTCTTTTCATGCTTAAGCAGCCTGTTTTGAAGGGTATTCAGCTCCCATTTCCCTAAGTATTGTATTTGATTTGGTCTCTGCTATTTCAGTCACTTAACTACATGCAGCATAGTCCTCGAAAGTCAGGCATTCATCTAGTTGGTCATGAAATTTTGTGCCTTTTCTGAACTTCCTATATTCACAAGAGTCTTCCACTTGATTCTTTCCTGAGCCAGATGAATTCAGTCTCTACCTTCACATTCTATTTCAATTTCAGTCACTTTCTGTTTCTCTGTGTTGTTTTGTTATATTTTTAGCATCTTTTGGGGGATTTTTAGATAGAAGCTAGAAAACAATGTCATAAGACAGTGTTAATCTCTTACTTCATGCTGTCTCCAAAAAACTTTTGTTTTTAGTAGTAATGTAGCTTCATGTAATGACCACCATATTTAATGTTTGAATCATGGGACCCACTTTTAAAATTGATCCCTTAGTCTGGACTTCAGTACTTAGTACTATCCAGTCACAGATGCTCTTCTGTTTCAGGCTGTCTATTGGCTTCTTCGGGCAGATGTTTCAGGAGCTGCTAAGCCTAAACCATGGTACTTACATATTGGCCTGTCCTGTGCTGATGAGGTTCTTCGTGAGCCAAATTTAGGGGGTGTTATTGGTCAGGCTAATCATGCATCATGGATGGCTTCAGCTGCTGGTGCACTTAGTGCAGTTGTCAAGGTTTTGCTGGAAGGGGAGCAACTCCCCTCCCTTACAGCATCAGGTAAGTGTTGTGCCCAGTCTTTTGTGCATTCCGTATGAAAGAATTGAAGAGCTTATGATCATGCTGTTATGACCTTTTTGTAACTAACTCCATAGAGCTTATTAGGAAAGTTGTAGTTGTTTGGCCTGGCAAGAAATTCCACATCTTTCATGGAACCAAAAGGTTCATTACTGTGAGACTTGAAGTTTTTGTGCACTTGTGGTTTAGGGACATGATTTATTGAAGTTATTGTTCTATTTGCCATGCCATACATATCCACTTGTTATGTTATGAAATTCCAGTGATATTTTGAACAGGACTGAATGCAGCACTGAATGATCCTGAAACTGTGTGTGCAGCCCATGCATGTCATCAGATGGCAGTCTTAGTCCTTTGGCTTGAGAAAACAAGACTGAAAATAAGCAACATTCCCAAGTTTCTTGTCAAACCTGTCAAGTGAGTAGACATTCTTGGAAATAATAGTAAAAATATTGCAATAGTTGACCCTCTTGGTTCATATTTGGGAGGTCCTGGATTGAAATATCAGCCTGAACACCAGTTATTCTCAGCAAGGTGTTTTGTAAATTTCCAGAGTTGCTCCATAAAATAGACAAGTGATTACTTGATAAATCTTTATGAATTAAACCAAGAAACAAACAAGCTACTTAATCATCAGATTCAAAGCTTATAATAAACATAATTTAACAATTATTCCATTAGAAATTTATTACCAGAGGCCAGCTTCACATTGCTCATAAACAATTTACTTGTTGCCATCCTTGAGACAGACATCACACCTTTTCTGTGGTGTTGCTTCCTTCTCAGTTGGACCCTGCCAGAAGTGCTGAACATGAGCTTATGACACTATCACAAATGCCATAGTTACCAATTTAAATGCCACTGATAGAATTTGTGGTACTTCTAATAAATCTGTCGCAGCTAACTGACTACATTTCACTATACCTCAGACATCTGTGGAAAAGAATACCTGTCAGTTAGGAGGAAATAATGTTGTCTTTCTTTTTTCAGGAGTCTTGTTGTGGGCTTATCTCGTTTACCTTTAGTAAACTCTTACGTTGTAACGCCACCTGATGTCTGGCGACAAGGCTGGGCAGCAGAATTGAGTGGTCCATGTCATACTTTTGTACCACCTCTTCCAGTGGATTACCTTCAAGATACTGATGTGCTCCAACAACTTATATTCAGGTATGATAACAGTTTTGTAACATGAATTACATTGCAAAATTCCAGTATATGCGTTAAGGGTTTTACAAATCGGGATAGGCTAATGGTTAGGAAACTTAAATTGCCCCAGTCTAACTTCATGTTCTTTTAGTACTTTTTAAATAAGCTGTGTATTGCAGGATAACACTTCTTGGGTGGACAAGTCGTCAGCAGTTTGAAGAGACCTGGATGGCTTTTCTCAGTGTCCTGAGCTCAAACCCTGTGGAAAACTGTGCACCAGAAGAAGTAGCCATCATGGTCCATGCTAGCAGCTTGGCAGTACAAGCCATCACAGCTCTGTTGGTGCAGACATTGATGTTGCCAATACCAGGAAACCCTAATGCTAGTCAGCTGGTACACCAGCCTCGTGAAAAGGCTCTGCCACAATCCAAGTAGGTACACTAATTCTCTATTAAATTTATTGTTTGAGGCCAACATATATATGGTATCTGTTCCCTTATTTTTTAGATACATTCAGGAAGAATCATACTGTCTCTTTTTACATTCTTTGCCCAAAATATGTGAAATGAACCAATAATCAAAAGGTAATCTCTGTCTATCTCTGTACATGTTTCATCTCTAAAACTACTGAGTAGATTGAATTATATTTTGTAGTCTGGTAAAAGTTTACTGATATTTCAGAGGTGCTTGCTGCCTCCATCATCAGTCTTGTGGTGTACAAGAAGGTGAAATCAAACATTATCAATTTTCTAAGAAGTGGCTCGTTACTTAAATGATAACAAATCTCAATAAAAGCTACATTTTTATTTGAAACTTGTTCTGCAATTTGTATTAAATGAAATACAATGGAAGAATTATGTACCCTCTAGAAACGAAATACAGCTCTAAATTATCAATTTTTGAGCACATGCTTCTGCCACAGAAGTGCAACACAAGGTGGAAAATGTGAAAAGAATTAAGAAATTTTGATGTTTGTGCTCTGATGAGTACCTAGAAATGAATCTATTGCTGGAGGCAAAAGTAATTTATTTGTAGTTGAAGTAAATGAGCATCCAAACCATGGAAAACTGACATATTTAAAAGGTATGTGTACATCTTGTACTATGCTGTCTTTATGTGACCTCGTCCCTGACTAGCTCACTCCCTCAGACTTCCTTTCCTCCATCCTTGTATAAATTCCTTCACTTCCCAGCATCACCACTTCAGCCCTGAAGATAGAGACAGTATGTTTCTCTAAAGCATTGTGCAAATCTACATGGCACCAAAACTGAGAAGACCATCAATATCAGTACAATACTTGCTGATTTATTTATTTATATCTGCTTGCAACTTCTCAGCATTTATGTTTTATTAATTAGTTTTCAGAAAAGTGTAAAGGAGTTTCACAAAAAAAATTATTTGGTATTTTATCATACCTCTAATATTTGTACTTTATTTTCAGATTTACATTTCTTTACAAAAATTCTGAATTTTGTATATTTCAGATGCAATGAGAAGTTACGGGCAATTCATGAATTGTTGGTCTGGAGACTGCAAGATCAGGAGGTCACTGGACAATGTCTGGAACTCAAACATGTCTTGAATAGAAGCAACATTGAGCGAATTCTCAGTCCAGACAGGTCTGTACACACAAATAAGTTTTTCAACTGGTTCCTGAAAGAAAAATCAATTTCACATGGGTGATTCATTCCATCAGTGTGCCTCTCCAAGTAACTTTAGGACCAACTGACTACTTTTCATTAGACGGGTATCAGGTTTGCTGCCTGTTTAATGAAGTTGGTGGTGGTGTGAATTCACTTTTCTTGAAAATATTTATATGAAATTTACATTTTTAGATATGGATACAGCCAGGTGTCATTAGAATATCTGTGGACAGCCACTCGAATGTTGGATACTAACAGCAATCCTGGGGAGGGTGACACACACAAAGTTACAGGTAAGTAAACAGTTCAAAATGGACTTTTTGAGAATTTTATTAGAGTTTTTCTGTTACAGACTGAAGCATGAATTTAATTCCATAAGCTGTTATACATGGCAGTTTTTAAATGTGGTCAGAATGTAGACCTCATGTCTGTGATGTAATTTGTAACACACATTTCTGATGTGCTGTAAACAGCAAACACAGCTAAGTTGTGCAACCATTGTAACAGAATGAAGTGATGAACTAAGTTTTGCTGTATTGGTATAATGAATGCCAAAGAACGTGTTTTATGAACTTGTATACAATGAAAGTCCTGTCAGCTGCGTCCAGCTGGCAACACATTACAGTCACTAGTATTTACAGTTGAAAGGGAAATAATCTGATTATCTGATACTTGCTTACTGCCATTTTATTTTATTTTCAAAGAGTATTTATTTTCCATTCAGTTTCTGCAAATCTTTCTTACTGTGTTTACAAAAACGCAGTTTTTTTTAATGAAATCCTGATTCAGTTGATACCTAGATCCTCCCAAGTTATCTGCTTCTTTGAGATTTTCTGGCCAAAATTGTGTTAAGTATTTCTGACTTTACTCATGTGAGCTGAATTCACAGTCCATATTGTCCTTAATCTAATCACTATAACAATATTGGGTGAAGAGAACAAATTTTTTCAAGCCTCCTGTTAATTCCTCACAGCTCCAAATATTATTATCAGCACTTTGTTTTCAAAAACCCTCAATCTGTGTTATTCTTTGTGATGTGAGGTCAAGATTCACACTGTATAAAATAATAGATATAATTATTGTTTTATTCTTTAGATTGTCTAGGATCTGTTTTTCAGGTTATTAGTCAGACCTTATGTTACAGTGTCAGCTTCTTGCTTGGAGCATGAACAGTACTTAGCTGCAAGTGGACTTGACCTTCATTCCTGCCTGCACTTTCTACTTGATTTATATTCACAGTGGACTTTACCACAGGTAATGTTACAGAACAAACCAACAACTCAGTCTTTTTGTTTGTGAGTGTGGCCAAAAACTACATGATGTAACAAAATTAAAACACTATGCAATTTATGGGTTCCGTTGTCTTTCTGTCATCATCTGTGTCTGCATGCATGTGTGTGTGAGAGAGAGAGAGAGCAAGAATCGACGTCTGTATATGTGTGCACATTTGTGCATATCTACCTGTGTTTGTATATGTTGTATGTGTACATGCACGTGGGTATGTGTGTACATGCACAGAGGCATCATACATATCAGTTCTTTTCATCATTTTATTTGTGATATATCTCTGAATGTTCTGACTCAGTTTTCATTGTTTGTTTTTTACATTCCATATTCTAGATTACTTTATATTCTGACTTTTGTACACCTTCTTGCCAAGAGGTCTGTAGGAATCCTCCATGTTATTTAAATCAGGATAATTTTTGTAGGACTGTCATCCATATATTTTATATTTCTAAATTATTCTGAGTGATTAAATTATAAAGCACTGAGTCTGTATGAGTAAAATAGTATATGGTAGTCCTCATTTTACATTAGAATTCCATTGCTAGAAGCACTGACATATATAGAAAGTATATAAATGGGAAATCTAAATCTTTCACTGTACTTATTGCTGAAAATGATGCCATATTGGACTTGAGCAGTGTTGAATGAAAATTATTCCCCTATTAACATTATAGTGAATCTATGCAATGATGTATTTTCTGTGATTGATATTTCAGTCTGGGACACCACTTCAACTTGTGAGTGAAGCAGTACGGTCCATATTGGCTGTATCAGATCTGTTTACAGAAAAGGCACAGTTTCAGTGGATGCTAGCAACCTGCTTGGAGCTTGGAAAGCATCATCCTTTTGAAGATGAAATATTACATCAGTACCTTGTGTTTGGAGCCTGTAAGGCAGCAGCTGTACTGGGGCCGGTAAGTTTGGTCATCTGAATAATTATCAAGTGTTTATAAAAGACCCCTGTACCATGGAATTAGTTATGTTGTTTTTCTTATTATTTTATTTTTATAATTATGAAGTAATTTTATCCTGTTGTGTATATATGTTATAAAGGATACAGAGGTTTACGAGCGAGTGAGGAAGTTGGTGGAGAACAGTTTGCGATCTGGTTTCCTCCCAGCACGAATTGCTGGTCTGCATGGAGTTCTTTTCTTGCTGCAAGCGACTCCTACAAGAACCCCAGCGCAACATTTTCAAGCCAGCAGTGGATCAGTTACTGAGGAGATCTATCATATGCAGCCACTAGCTATTGATTATATACAGAAGCATATTGACATAGGCAGTGGGTAAGTATATATCTTGAACCTCTGCATTCCAGCCCTGAGGTGAATGTCACACATTTTATTGTAGTGGATCCACTTTTTAAGCTGCTTTAACAGTTGCAGAACAGTAATTACTCTTATGTTTGTTTTGGAGTTTGTGCATTAACAACTTATATTCACTGATGGAAAATGTTATTCTCTGTATCCCTGGCCATCATCTTCATGATATCTATGATCTCTAGAAATTTTAAATCAGAATGGGGCATATATAAAGTTTGCAAACAATTCAGTGTTTAGTTTCATGTGCATTACATTAATACAGATTATAAATTAAATATGCAATATGAGATAACTGCAATAGTCATCGAATGTGTGACGGCTGTTCTAATTTTAGTGTAATTTTTATATTATAGATGTTTTAGTTATAATTTAAATTCTTCAAAGTTCAGTTGCTGTGTCTCACAACGTGATTATAATATATGTTAGCGGATGTCTTAATTCATTGCATGATCACTTTCTTAAGTTTCAAGTTCTTATGAGCACAGTAAACAACTCACATTTATTTTTTCTTTAGTCCAAATAGCCACAGTGAGGAGCATCAGCTGGTGATGTGGGGTTTGATGTTCTTCTTGCTAGAAAATATGGAGGAACAAATGATGGACACAGAAGTTGCTCCAGCTGTACTGCAGCTGGCTCTCACTTTAGTCACTGCCCACAGTTTGTCTCCAAGTGTACATTTAGCGCTCATCCAGGTAAGATTATGTGCTGTTTACTGTGAGAAATGCAGTCTTACAAAAAAAGAGAAGGCTTGTGGAAATCTTTCTCAGTTAAATTTGTTTTTGGCTGCATAGTTAACAAAATTTAATTTACCATTTTGTTCAAAGTTTTTCTTGAGAATGTTTAGTTATGTTATGTCTTGCATATATGTGCTTCGTACATAATTTTGTGCTAATTTAAATTTATACAGATAAACCTGTTTCTATATGTCCTGTCCTTAATTTCCACCAAAAAATTCAATTCTTTTTACTTGCTCAACAGTTGTTGGCCCAATGGCCCTATAAAGAATTTATGTTATGCAATACATGGGAACATGTCTACTTGCTACAGGGAATATACATGCTACTAGCAGTTACAAAAAAAATTTTACTATAAAAGTATGTAATACGCCGTCCCAGTGGCTGCATGGTCTGAGGCGTGGGCCTTGTGCCACTTGGTCACTGAGACCGTGGGTTTGAATCCCACTCAAGACATGGATGTTTTGTCCGCGTCTTTCTGTGTTGTACTGCCTGTGTACAGGTAGAGGCCTTGCGACGGGCCAATTGCTCATCCAAGGGGTCATACTAACTGTCTATAGATCAAAGCCAATGAAAGTTGGGACTCGCAGATGCTCAGGCACTGAAGAATGGGTTGTATAAAACATAAAACAGTATGTAATATATTATTTTATAAACTACATGATTATTTCATACATTAATTGAATATTGCATTTAAAGGATGTAATCCAAAATGTTATACACTTCAACTAGGTAATGTATAAAATAACTAATTGATAGCAGATAATGTTAAAATAAAGTTATGGTTTCTGCATTCTACCTACATTAAGTATGGAAATAAGTTTCCTAACCTAACAAAACTTAATCTAATCTAAGTTCACATGGGGTTTGAAGTACCTAATAAAAACCTCACATTTATTACATTTGAATTTCCCTCAAACAGTTGTTTTATGCAGTAAGAGTCACTGTTATGCATGGCCACAACTAACGAGCAAATGTTTTTGAAGAAAATGTATCACCATGTCTGCTGAGATGTGAGGTTCTACTTATTACTCCTTATAACCCATACTTCTGTTTTTTTCTCTGTACATTTTACTAGCTCAAAGGGCTGCAAAGCTAAGCCACAAATGGTATGCATATGATATTTGGTATGAAGATGTGAAAGTGTAATTGAACCTTCAGGAATATGAATTATTATAACTTCTTCCATGTCTCATTGGCATCTGACTGATTTATGTATCCATGGAATGTATTATTAATGAGTATGTATATGTTGGAGGAGGACCTTAAAGAGACAAACTGTGAGAATGTGAGATGAATGGAACTGACCTTGTCTCATGTGCATTTGTGGTATTTGATATGAGTAATGGCAGTATTGATCCTGTGAATTTTTGCTACCAGTGTGTTAATTGCTTAATTTTTGTTGGACAAAATCTGATAATGCAAGTAATATTATTGGTGTATGATAGGGTCTTGAGAGACTGGTGGTGACTGGCTCAGTAGGAGGGAAAGTAGCTGAACAGGTGACGAAGCTGTCAGTGGAACGGATGCGACATCCCAACCCAACTATAGCTGTCCCAGCACTGCAGCTGCTTCTGTCCTGTATGTATACAGGTAAGAAATAATCAAGGTAAAAGGTTATAGACAGATCTCCAGAAATGCCATTGACCACTTATCACAAGTGAGTGAATGAGAAGTGGTGGTGGGTGTATTTTAGTCTGGGTCTAAATGTATTTAAGATTTGATAAACAAGCAATGATAATATTTCAGTCAAACAGAGGATAGGTTAGTAGGATGGATAATGTTATGCACTGAAGGGCATAATCATATTGTTAGTGTGATCAAATCATGGAGGATGGGATAAGTGGGGCATATAGCATACATAAAGAGATGAGAAGTGTGTCAGAAAAACTGAAGGGATGATACCACAAGGGAGACAGGCATAGAAGGAAGGATGTTAAACTGGATCTTATGATATGGATGATGAGAAAAACATACAAAATTTGTATCCAAACACCTGAAGGAAAAAGACAGCTTGGGGGACTCAGGTACAAATGGGATAATATTGGCATTTCTCTTAAATTATTTGTGGTGTGGAGATATGAATTGTATTCATGTGACTCAGGATAGGGTCCAGTTTTGGGCTACTGTGAAAATGGTTATGACCCCTCTGGTTGTATAAAAGGCTGGAAATTTCTTGACAAGCTGAACAACTGTTTATTACTCAAGAAGGTCTTTGCTCCATGGAGTTTATTAAATATGTATGTGGTTAAATGTTTATGTACCTGTCAGTGATAAACACATCCATAACAAAGAAAATACAACACTACAGTGTTAGGATCTTTTTGGTATGAAATATTTCATAATTTGGTTGTAAGAAGCTGAGGAAGGTGGAAAATAACCTGTTCTCCACTTTCAATGTTCCTGTGCTATGTAAGATTTAATGTATATAGGTTATGTCATTGTATTGAAATAATTCTTGTATCAGATTCCAGAAATTTTTAATGTGTATATATTGGTGTGTCTAAGGTTTAGTTCATGCTAACCTTTATCATATGGGAAAAGGCAATTTAACCCCCCCCCACACACACAGGGATGTCAGCCAGGACTTAGCTCTGTGGTTAATGGTTGAGCAGTATGCTACTCTGATGCACATGAAACTGAACTGTGCATAAGGTATGTATGACAGAGGGTCAATAAAGGTTGAAGGACATGTCATCTGATACTGTTTACAGAAAGGTGTGAAGATCTGAAGCAGAATGGAGAAAAACTGACTGGCAAGGCACATGATCCAGAACTTCTTATACCAGCCATGGAGAAAACATCTGCCATTTTTGACAGGTATTTGTCAGATATATATTGGCAAAAATCTAAATTGCAGCCTTCACCATTTGCACTGATCCAATTATTCAAGAGCCAGAAGAACATTTGTATATGCAGAAGTTGCTACTGCAGAATAGTGGTCGAACAACAACACAAACACGTTTAGCACACAGTTTTCAGCACATTCAGTGTGTCAACGAGAAGCGAACTGAGCACATTTTTTTTTACTCCCTTATCAGGCTGAACGCAAATGACAGAATGACCAATGCTCAAGTGACTGTTGTGCAATGTTGGTGGATTTTTAGGAGATTATCTCGCAACTACTTAGCAATGAGTGCAGAGGTGACTGTATTTATAATTTTTATTCAAAATCAGCGATGTAAGAATTACGATTTAGTATAAGAATCAGTACGAGAAACATTGTAAAACGTTATAAATAATAGTAAAATATATTTTTTTCACTTTTTGACTTGCTGGTTTCAAAAGCGGTGTTATTCTGAAGCGGCGCAAATCAAGGGTTACCTGTGTGTGTGTGTGTGTATATATATAAAATGTTGATGGTGAAGCACCCAACATTTATGAAAGTTCCTCCCTATTATTGATGAATATCATAAGCTCTACGTACCTAACTGAATGCAGAAAACAGGAAAATAAGGACTTACGTACATGTAATTTGTTGACCTGCAACTTGCAACCCAGATCTGAATGTGATAATTAATACTGACTGTGTAATGATTCTTTACTTAAAGCTGAAAGTTTATGTCTAATTTCTTGATGAACAGGATCAAGAAGGGTTATCCGTTTGAAGTGGAGTTGCTGTGTGGTGTACTATCAAACCTACTTACAGACTTCTTTCCTCCATCGGAAATCATGACCAAGGTGATAGGGGAATTTCTATCAACGCAACAGCCACATCCTCGTCTCCTTGCTGCTGTTGTGTTCCAGGTAACAAGAACACCATGGTTTTCAGGGGGAAATTTTTACATTGAGGTTGCTTTATGCTGCAAACCTAACTTTTCTCTAAAATGGATAAAGTTAATGAAATATTGCATTGTTAATGTTTCTCTTGTGTTCTGTTGTCTAGGTTTTTGAGTGTGCCTGTGAGCAGTCTCAGCTGCCACTTCTACAAGATTGGGTTGTGCTCAGTGTTGCCAACTTCACACAGTGTTATCCAGTTGGCATGGCCTCATGGTGCCTCACCTGCTTTTTCATCAGTGCATCCATCAATCCATGGCTTCGGGCTCTGTATCCTTTTCATGTAAACACTCCAAACTCTTTGCTAGGTTATGATATATACTTAACAAAATTCAAGGCAGTAATAATATTTCTGTGTAGTGCAATGCTACTGCTGTTGTTGACCTTTGTTAGGAGTATCTCTAATTGTGATCAGTGTGTTTAATGTGTTGTATGTTTGTATAACAAATGATAGTTAATAGCAATGTGTCATGCAAAACAACAGAGTGCATTTGAAAATATGTATACCGTGCTCTAAATTGGGACCCATCTTCCAACTCTTATTTCAGTTAGCCGTTTCTGAGTTATGAAAATTCTCTCCGTTGCTTTCAAAGTGCTCCATTTTAAGTTTTAGAGAACAGATGAAACACGTAGCACAAATGATCTTAGCCATTCACTTACCAATGCTCATACAATTCTATGAATTACCACTGAGCAGATATTCCACATATTATTCATATATTGATATTTTAAATCTTTGGTATAAAAAGCACACCACTGGTTTGAATTACAAGTGACTGTCATTATGCATGCTCTTGCTGCTGCGGTTTTGTGTGTGCATGGTTTTATTTCAGTACCATGAGGATCATCAGTATCATATCCATAACCAAATTTTAAAACCTGTTACTTGTACTGAACCAAGCTTATCAGGAATGTGATGTAGATGATGAACTTAATATCAGAGATTTAACATCAAAATTATGACTTATACATTTCCCATCGCCCATATGTAACTAGAGTCACCTTATGTCATCAGTTCAGTAATCAGAATGGAGATCTTGTAATCTTGTGGGACAAAATTATAAACTTCTGTTTTAAATCAAACTTTTTACCATAATTAGGACCTTGCATCATACTTTTTATTAGTTAATACTGTATTCATTATAAATATAATATAATAAAATATTATTGCAAGTTCTCATTACCTTAACCCTTTTTAAGATTTCCTCACGTGCAGTCTCGTATAGGTCGCTGTGAGTATGAAGATCGTAAACTCCTGTGTCTAGCAGCTGCAGATTTCTACCGTCAGGTGAATATTTAGTTAATGCATAATTTATTTAGTTATAATAGGGGCATAATGAAAATATTTTTTCTTTGCTGCAAATACTGACTTCTTTTACCTATTCAGAAGCTTTTTTTTTTCATATATACAGTAAAATTAATATAATGGAATTTAAGGACCCAGTTACATTATATAATGTACACTTCTTATAACAGGTTACGCAGCATTTGTAATTTATTTATTTATTAATCATTTATGAGATAATGGCTATTCTACAATACATTGAAAATGTGAGTAAGAATTCACAATATACACAGAGATGTATCAGTGTCACAGTTTAATAACTGTACACTCAGCTTGTATTACAGTTGGTGGTCATGTAGAGCAGTACTGGAGATGAAGGTTCCTTCACATCTCCCAAGTACTTTTCAGTCTGTATTGTGCTTTCTCATGCTTTATTAATAATATCATTGAATCTTGAAGTTCTCTTGCCAGATACTGGTATTTAAGAAAATAATAGCTTCTTATCACAAAAACATTGAACATTTTCTTGCAATGTATTGAAATTATCAGCTATTGGTATTACATATGAGCTGTCAGAGTCATGCATGATTAGTTGGGTACTATATAAATAATGGAGATATTAAACAGTTTGGGTAGTGGTAATGCAAATTTTTTATAAATGTGTTTGTTGAATAGCTTTCATCAATTACATAGAGTACTTATGGAGGTGTAGGAAAAGTAGTAGATTACCTACACTTTCTTGCAGTGATGAACTTATGCATATAAATAATTACACTATTTCTAGCCAGAGATGTAATATAATTTAAAACTTGTTAACTTTCAGTAACTTGTCTCTTTACCACAACATCCTGATCAGATTTGGGACCCTCTTTTCCTCCTATCCTGTGGGTACTGTGAGGTTTTCCCCAGGTTAAAATGGTCAAAATGTGGAGCTTTCTGTCCATATGTCTGTTAAATAACATTGCACTTAGGCACACAGACTGATATTTAGTTAGATGTAGTAAAATATTTTATCTTATGACCCTTTCAATGCTGGTATGTTGTTCTGTTAATGGAAATCCATGTTACTTTCAAATGTTTACTTCTGAAAAAATACAAATCTTTGACTGTTGAGAGGTGGGAAGAGAAGTTTCTTTTACTGTCTACCAAATACATTAATTCCAGAAAGAACAATTGTTTTAGGTAAAATATCTCATTCATATTATGAAAGAATTCACCTGTAACAAAATGCATTTGTAAGTTGACTGATTTCTTACAGTAGATAAAAATATTTTGCAGCTGAAAGATGAGAAACAGAAGCTAACCTTTCAGTCTGCATTCCAGACCGCAGCAAATCAACCACTGTTTGCTGACATTCTTGCTTGTCTATAAATTGTGAGTACTTTAATAACTTATGTTATGTGATATCATTGATACAAATGCTTTTCTTCTTCTGATTCAGTTTACTTATGTATCTGTTGATATTAATTTTGAAAAGTGGAGCAAGGTATCATGAAATGTGTTGTGTTAATGTAATGAACATACACTGCACAAATGCAATTAAATCCAATTTATTGAATGTATATAAGACATTTCCTTTGTTTACAGGTCTTACACTGCAACTTGCATAACTCCAGTGTATATAACATATACCATTCCTTCAGTGTATAATTAAATAAATTAAAAGTAACATCCTTATTGTAAGTGTCAGTGTACTGTTGGTGATGAATTAAAAGCTACTTTATTATTTGGATAGTGTTATTTTTTCTTCTGTGTTTTATTGCAAAATGCTAAATGTCACTTTCTTATTCCTTTCTGTGAGAATGTTCAGTGTAACACCTCATCTCCAGTAACACCAACCTCACCTTCAATCTTTTCATGCAATGAAGTCTGCTGTGACCATGTTATGGTTTTATAATCATTGTGTCTGTAACAAAGGAATGCCACCATATAATTTGGAATTCCACATCATAGCAGTATAACCATTGCATCTAATGAAGGAAATCCCAGTATAAAGAATTATTTATCATGGTTTTGTGTCTTATTCATTATAGGTAGAGCAATAAAATGTACAATATATAACATTTGACAAATTTTAGTAATTTGTGCATAAATTGTCTTAATAATTTAAAGGAATGTAAACTATTTTCTTTAAGCATCTGGAAAATTGCAGTTTGCCTGTTTTATTTCTGTATTAAACTACTTACTGTGAGATAAATTAGTACTACAAATAGTTTTTATGAATGTGAATAGTTCAGGGTGAATACTCATATTCAAATTTTTTTTAGTGATCACTTTCTTATAATGTTGACACTATATTGGAAAGACCAAATACACCAAGCATTCAGGAATAGGCTAGTTGTAAGATTTGAGGTTTTCACAGCTGTGAGTATGAAGATTTCTGTCTTCTGAGTTGTTGCGCTGAGTAGTCTGGTCGATGTTAACCAACGTTTCAGAGGTCATACTGCCTCTGTCGGTTAACATCGACCAGACTACACAGTGCCAGAACCCAGAAGACAGAAATCTTGAATAGGCTAGTTTTTTGTAGTCAGTGATAACATTTGAAATATTGATAACTTGTACTGGCTTCATTTGTGTAGTGTTTATTGGCCTCTTCAAAATGGCACATTTTGTAAAATAAAGCAGCACACTAGTAACATTTTGTTATGGTTTACAAATATGTAGGATTATACATTGTAAGGATAGGAGATGGCTGAATCTGGCCCAGGATCATGCCCAACAGTGGGTTCTGGTACCAAACATCAGGTTATTTATATAAAATAGATACTTCATGGCACAAGTCAAGGGTTTGGAAGATGTCATATGCAATCTTGAAGTAACAGGCAAGAGTAAAGAACCAATCAAACGGGTTGCAACTTAGTGGCTGTAGCCGAAACCAAGAGCACGATAATGAAACGAGTAATACCAGAATTGTTTTTCTTCAACGCACCTTGAGGGTGGTAAACTTGTTTTCGAATGCTGAAATCAAGGTTTTTTATGCAATCCACAGTTGTAGGCTTGTTCTCGATAAATCGTTTAATATGTTGTCGCGGGATAAGTTATTCAGTCTATGTGTAAATAATATGTATATTATTAATATGCGAAGATTAGCAGTGTGTTAAAATGTTAATATACAATGGAAAGATTAGTTTATATTGCTTTCTAGCATCGTTAATGATATGTTTACTGTTAATTTTACCAAGAATTACACCTTCGGGAAGCTGCATTCTTGATCATGTGTCGTGGATCCTACCTTCGTATTACATTATAATAAACGTGTTTTTGCTTCTTTGCTTTCGTGGATATGATTTTCAGGTAGTGTATATAATTTTAACAGTTTCCTAACTTTTTAGCATTTATTTTTAATGTATGTGAAAAATAAAACAGGTTCATACATATTCTGTTTGTTTTTTTACGTTAAATTGTGCCTGTGGAAGAATGAAGTAAATTTAGTGTATAACATAATATTTATGTGCCAACAAGCAGACGTATAGAGTAGAATTCGGATGATTCTGAAATTTTTTTGAAAAGGAGGATCGGGTTGGAAATGTTACCCTTGGGGACTAAATCTAGCAAAAACACTCGGGTTAGAGTTAGGTTAAATTTCAACCAATTTGGGTAGTTGTGAGGTACAATTGTTCAGGCACTGTGTTTACGAAGGTTCTTTGATATAATTAATTTGGTCTTCTCGGAGTTAATGTGGTAAAATACGACAGTCATGAATTAGTGTCATTATAGGCCACATTAGAACGTGTTGTAGTATGGCAGCTAGTTGTTATGCCCATTTTACTCTCACAACATTTTCACTTTTAATGTTTCTGTAAGAAATTTGAATATGGTCAAAGGTTAGACTGCTTCAGGATTGTTTTAGTTTATTTCAATTTGAATATATTGTGTTTGTATTGGATGTTATAAGCATGAACAAGACATGTGTTGTGAGAGATGTTTGTTGATATATATTATTTGGGCTGCATGTCTTCAGAAACATATGACACTATAAAATCCTCTCGGGCTATCAGCCATGGCAAGTGGTTAAAACATGACGAGGTCAGAGTTGGACCTCAAAATGTTGGTCTGTTCATGATTTAACCACTTGACGCGGCTGGTAGCCCGAGAGGATTTTATTGTACATAGTCGCCGTGAAAGCTCAAGATCATACATATGACACTAATTTTTCCCCAAATATTCTGATGTGTAGCTAGCATTGTATTTCCTGTTTATCTAATTCTATTGTATTTAGCATTTTGGTAGGCAGTTTTTTTATCTTATGTGTAAGAAATAGTATTCCAAGGCCCTTGTAACTCTATTGTGAATAACCACAATGGGTAAAATCCCTGTCAATGAAAAGGTTGCAGTTTACTGCAAGAAAATGAATGCTGAATGAGTAATGTTGCTGCTGTACGTGAAATTGCTGTTGGAATCAGAATGTTGTAGCTTAATTATATAATTTAAGTATTATGTGTATATTATGCTTCATCTCTCATAGAGTCAGATACACAACCTTGGTTGCAAATAAATGAAGACAGCTGTTATGAACATTTTGTCATTTAGCATCTTCCTTTCTTTTCAGTTTGCAATAGTGTTTACAGTATGGTTCTAAACTTATAGCAGACAGTAGAGTGGTTTGTGGCAGATTTATGCAAAGTTAGCCAGTATTTCCAGATTTTGTCCCTAATTTGTGATGACAAATATTTCATCTAGCATGATAAAGAAGATTTAAAAATATATAGTCATGGTTTTATAAGTTTACCAATATATTTAATAAAAGAGTAAATTAATAAACTTTATCTTTTAATTAATAATATAGAGGAAACCATTTTATTTTTTAAATACAATTTTTACCAGAATGTTGTGTACATAAGATGTTTCCCAGTCCTAGCTACTACATGTCCCACTCATTATAACATTATTGATTTGATAGTAGGTGGCCTATATATATATCACATATTTTATAACTATGTAATGTCCTGATTTGCCTTTTCATCCTTTTGATACTTATAGGATATTTTATTTCCTTTCACTGTTAATGTATTGCTATTTTTTTCTCCCACTTGCAGGTTGCAATTCGTGCTGCCTTCATTGGTTTCATTTTCTCTGTTGGACTGTTCTTGGCAGACTTGGCACCTCCATCATATCATGTATTTGGATGGTACATGTGCTTCATGTCATTCTTCCATTATTCAGAGTTCTTGATGATAGCATTGACAAACCCAAGAACTCTGTCACTTGACTCCTTCATACTGAACCATAGTATAGAGTATGGTGTTGCTGCTTTTGCCAGTTGGGTGGAATTCTTCATAGAACGATGGATTTTTCCAGGTAACTTCTCAGTAATATATTACAGTACATTGCCTAAATATGGCTCATTATGTAAATGATGGAAAGGGTTTTGATAACCTTCAAAAACAATACAGAAAGCTCAGTACATAACTAATATATTTTCTTAGATAATCCTTTGTCAGGTCTAAATATCTTCCTCTGTGATTTCATCTTAAACATCACCAATCAGTGTCCTTTCCATAAAGTTAGAGACAGAGACCAAGTTCTGCACCCAAATATTAAGACAAAATAATAGGAATGTGGGTTAAATGACAGCTGGTGCAACGAGACACGAAAACCAGCTTGGCTTGTGCGGTAACAGACATGACTAATGCTCAGTCATTTCATGATTCATGTTGTGCTACTAAAAAACATTGACTCAGTTGTGTTTGCTTATATTTTGTCTGTAAATTATAAAGACAATGAAAAATAATTGTTGTATTTCAAAATTAGGTGGATGGAAAGTTTCCCAGAGTCACAGTAGGAAAATTATTTTTCATGTTTGCATTCTCTTTATGAAAGTGTAAGGATTGGGAAACCTGGTTTTGATGGTTAGACATTATTACAATTTACTGTAGAGAGACAGCATGGTAGGTAAAGATTGAATTGAGTTGACTCAGTACAGAATATAGTGATGGACTTTTTTGCTACTTTCTACTGCATTAGATTTGACAGGTGAGATTGTTTAGGCCAGCAGACCTTACTAATAAGCAGTATTGTCATATTGCTTATCTCACTGCCCTGTTGTTGGCAGTCAATACTGTCTGTGCCTTCATGATATGCTTCTTAGGTTTTGGGACACAACTTTTATGAAGCTTCATTTTACAATTTTCTGCAGATTTAAAGGAGCTTACCACAGTGAGCCTTGTTGGTGTGCTGCTCTGTGTTGGTGGTGAGTTACTCCGTAAACTGGCAATGTTCACTGCCAAAACAAACTTCAATCATATTGTTCAGAGTGTACATGAGGAGGGTCATCAGTTAGTGACACATGGAGTGTATAAATACTGCAGACATCCCAGTTATGTGGGTTGGTTCTACTGGTCTATAGGCACTCAGGTATGCACATAAGTATGGAAAATTAGTATCTTGGTATGAATGCATAAATGCATGTGTAATAGAGATGGTATGCCTGTCCTTCCACATATTCCAAAATTACTCAAAGAATTTTGCTGAAATAATTTTATTTTAGACCATGAAATGCAACAAATAGCACTGTTCATTCACTGATATCAGGAGCCTTTAATGATGGTTTAACATCAGCAGAGTTCCTTAAGGTATCCATTGTGTGGAATCACTGCTAGTATTGTTACATGAGTGTAATTTGATGATCTCACAACAGTGAAGATGTCATTGGTATCAACCTATGAGTCCACATGGTGTCAACCCAAAAGAACAACATTGAAAATCTTACAATACTTTTATTTTCCGTCGTTTACACAAGCTTATTGTTAAAATCATATAAAATTTCACATAAAATTGTTACATTTTAAAATTGACGACATGTTTCGATATACAATCTTATCATCAATATAAGCAGAGCAACAGATACACCAGATTTTAATTTTAATTTTGATAGACCTGACGATGATAAGATTGTATATCGAAACATGTCGTCAATTTTAAAATGTAACAATTTTATGTGAAATTTTATATGATTTTAACAATAAGCTTGTGTAAACGACGGAAAATAAAAGTATTGTAAATGTTCCTTGTTTCACAACCTGGCAAAGTGACGTAGCAAGAAAAGGAACGATGTTTTCAGAAAACGTACTTACTCGTACACAGCCTTGACGTAGTCCGATCCCCTGTCGTCCTGAGCGTAGATGGGAGTCCCCATGGCCGTCTCTGGAACAGAGCAGACTTTGAATGAAGTCTTCAGTAGCGCACTTAATTTTTTTTTTAAATTAAGAAAACTTAAGATGGCGTGTCAATGCACAGAGAATGGGGCGTATTTTCTCACCGCAGATAATGTCCAATGCGCACTTGGTGATGTAGGGATACACGTCGAAGCCCTGAGATCCGACTTCCTTCTGCAGCTTTCTGACCAAAATCTCGCTCTTCTCCGAGAACACTTCCACGAAGTTGTCCAAGATCTTGAAGTGGAAAGTCGGCGTTATCATCTTCCTGTGGGTGTGCCACTTCTGACCTGGTGACAATAGTTGCCAAATAAAGCACGCCAAACTTCCGCAAAGCAAGAGACATTTTTGTTAGCAGCGGTGAAGATGTCCGTGTTGATCTTCTGGGTTGTAATGCCATTCGGACTTGTAAAGTTTCGGACGATCACTTTCAGCCCTGACGAAGTAGGGTGTGTGTCGCTCCGAAACGTTGGTATTTTCAGTACAAGTCCACACACCGTTCAACCGACTGCAAAACTAAAATTATATTTAACGTTCTAAAAGCACAGTGGTAACTATATGTACCACCTCCTTCAACAATAAATAATTCTTCGTGTTTCATTTATGTATTTCGTATGATTCTCAGAATAAACAGCGATTATTTCCTTAAACAGCGTTAACCAGTTGAACTTCGTAATGGTGAAGTGTAGTGTTTTCTTCGCGGTACGGACTGGATTCTTAAGTTTCATTTGAAAGAGCTTCGGCTCCAAAGGTTAATTAGCGTTTTAGTCGTATTATTTCCTTAAACAAGGTTAACCAGTTGATCTTTGCAATGGTGAAGTGTAGTGTTTTCTTCGCGGTACGGACTGAATTCTTAA